CTCTCGCCACCTATCCCTTTCCCTCGCTCCCTCTCCTTCCTCCGCAGCTGCAACATGACGAGGAACATCACCCCCTTCGCCGCCTTGCCGACTATGAGCGGTCCATTCACGGGCCGCAAGAACACGAAGTTGTACTGCTTCAACATCACCCTCGTGAAGCCCATTGAGCCAAATGTGGGTCGCAGCGCTCGCTGGCGCCGCCGTACACCGCATGATAGCATGTGCATGTCCTGGTTGATGTATGTATGTATGTATGTGGCCATCTACTGACTGCGACACGAGCACAATAGTAGTGCCACATTGACGGATACATCGATTACGCCTTTACGTACAGATGTCTAAATGGTGCATGCGGCACAGCGGCCACATCTTCCTCCAGTAGCACTCCATTACGGTTTTCTTGCTATCCAATCCCATCCCTCTCATATCCCCCCTTTACAGAGCACCTGCGGTAAAAGCAATCTGCTCGATAAGGTCATCATCTGGGCCGACGACACCATTTACCGCAGCAGCATCAAGTCCATTGCTCTCTACGCTGCGGGCGACACCTCCGCGAAGTATGTCGTGCCGAACTGGAACAAGTTTGGTAGCCAGCAGGTGAAGGCAACCGGGATCGGCTGGACTAAGGATAAGGCGAACGGCGGAGCCATCTGCCTGGAGCTGGACCAAGACGTCGACCTGTCTGATTTTTGCTTGTGGCGGTTTCCCCAGCAGAAGAACTCTTGCATGTAAGGGCCTGGGGATTTGTTTGGGGGCTGCCTGCATGCTTGTCATGCCGTGTTGGAAGCCATGAAATGGGAACCAGTACGTCTGGCGAGGATGTTGGAACGTATGTGGGCTCACCGAAACTCACTGGACGCTGGTCTAGGCTGATGTGCGGTGTTTCCTGTTCTCCGTGGCTTTTAGGCGCATCCTTGGGCCTTCGGCTCGTATGGGTAGTTTTACAGGTATCGGGTCACGCACCCCCAACCATGTAAAACACACACGCATGTCATGCCGTGTGCATGCATGGCGGGATGTGAGTGTGCGCGAACTAGGCGGCACTCAGTCGCCATCCCGGCTGCAGAAATGCATGCATGCACCTAGCTAGACTATTTACGCGGGCTTCCTTGCACATGGTTGAAGAGCTCTCCAATGGCACCCTAGCCTTGCACTAGCTTAGCTTTTTTACTGCTTAGAGGTGCCTCTGGCCGAGCGTCCTGTCTTTCTACCTAATTTTGTGTCTTCCATGCCCATGCCCATCTTGCTTGATGCAGGGTTTCCCTTTTCGATACATCCTATAAATGCTGC